TAATTTGGAAAAGGATAGTGAGAATAGCAGCACAACTGGAAGAATGTAATCAATGTCACTGAATTGTACATGTAGAAATTTTTGAAATGGTGTGTCTTTGGCTACGTATATTTTCACCAGAAAAGAAAAAAGGTCCTCCAAGGTCGAGAAGGGAGAGTGTTGACATGTTGTGGGTTTGTTAACCAATCTCATAAAACAATATGCATACTGACTGTGTAATGAGAAACTATTTGTTCTGTAAACCTTCACCTAAAGTACAATAAAAAAAATAAAATAGAAAACAACAACAACAAAAAAGGTGCCATAAACAGATGTAAAGGAAATAATTAAGACATTTATATTATAAATGCAGAGGGTTAAGGGAAGAAAGGGGAACAAAGGTTTCCATAATTCACTGAAGCTGGTAAAATCTCAGTCCCAGCTGGGTATATAATGTAATACCTAGAAAAACCACTATATAACTATACAAACAGATACACTCAAAAGCACTATAAATAAATCAAAATGGAATTTTAAAATATGTTCTAGTAACCCACAGGAAGGGAAGCAAAGAAAACAGAGAAACAAAAGAGAGAGAGAACAAGCAGAAAACAAAAAATGAAAATGGCAGATCTCATTCTAACGTATCAGTTGCAAATGGTCTAAATATACCAATTAAAAGACAGAGGTTGGCAGAGTAGACAAAAAAAAATTACCCAGCTATATGTTGCCTACAAGAAACTCACTTCAAATATAATAAAAAAAATTAAAAAATCAAAGAAAAAGGATATACCATACAAATATTAATCAAAAGAAAGCAGAAGTGGCTATATTGATATTGGATAACATCAACTTCAGAGCAAAGAAAATTACCAGGGACAGAGAGAGACATTACATTATGGTAAAAAGATCATCTCAGCAAGACGACATAGCAATCCTAAATGTTTATGCACCAAATAACAGAGCTGCAAAATGTGTGAAGCAAAAACTGATAGAACTGAAAGGAGAAATACATTCACGGTTAGAGCCATAGACTTCCATATCCCTTTCTCAGCAACTGATAGACCTACTTCGCAGAAAATCAGCAAGGATATAGAAGAACTCAATAACACCACCAACCAAAGGGTCTCATTGACATTTATAGAACACTCTTCCCAAGAACAGCAGAATATATATTCTTCCAAGCACTCACGGAATATATACCAATGGAGATTGTATCTTAGACCATAAAACGAATTTAAAAGAATTTAACTCTATACAGACTATATTCTCTGGCCACAATGGATTCAAAGTAGAAATCAATAACAGAAAGGCAACAAGAAAATCTCTAAACATTTCGAAACTAAACAATACACTTCTAAATATTCCATGTGTCAAATAGGAAGTCTCAAGGCAAATTAAAAAATACATAAAAATGAAAGGAAATGAAAAATACAAAATATCAAATACATATCAAAATTTTCAGGACATAGCTAAAGCCACATGAGAGGGAAATTTATAGCACTGAAATGCTCACACTGGAAAAGAAGAAATGTTTTAAATCAATAATCTAAGTTCCTATCTCAACAGAGTACAAAACGAAGAGCAAAATAAACCAAAGCAAGCAGAAGGAAGGAAATAATAAAGATAAGAACAAAAATCAATAAAATTGAAAGCAGGAAAGCAATAGAGAAAAATCAATGAAACTAAAATCTGGTTCTTTGAAAAAAATCAATAAAATTAACAAACCTCCACCAAGATTTCCAAGGAGAAAAGAGAGAAGACACAAATGACTAATATCAGGAATAAAACAGAGGATATCACTACGGACCATGCAGACACAAGGGGATACTATGAACAACTCTGCACACATAAATCTGACAACAAAGATGAAATGGGCCAATTCCTTAAAAAACACAAACTACCACAACTCATCCAACATGAAACAGATGGCACAGTGGTTAAGAGCTTGGCTGCTAACCAAAAGGTTGGCAATTCGAATCCACCAGCTGCTCCTTGGAAACTTTATGAGGCAGTTCTATTCTGTCCTATAGGGTTGCTATGAGTCAGAATTGACTCGACGGCAATGGGTTTGGGTTTAATTTGTAACTATTAAGGAAATTGAATTTGTAATTTTAAAATACTCCCAAAAAACAAATCTCCAGGCCCAGGTGGTTTCACTGGAGAATTCTACCAAACGTTTAAAGAAGAGTTAACACCAAGTCTACACAGTCTTTTCCAGAAAATACAAAAGGGGGAAACACTTCCCAATTCATTTTATGAAACTAGTATTACTCTGATACCCAAACCAGACATAGACAATACAAGCAAAGAAAACTACAGACCAATATCTCTCATGAACTTAGAGGCAAAAATCCTCAGCAAAAGTTTTTCCACAGAAATAGGCCTAGAATACACTTGTAAATAATATCAAGAATGTCTCCAAGATTTAGGTTCTCAATAGCATATGCGATCCCCACATCATTCCTCTCTCTATAACACAGCCCGAGTGCCACTAAAAATAATATTTCATGTGTTTCACAAATATTTCACCAAGTCCAATACTTGGATGAGAAACAAAAGTCTGACACCAAATATCAAACTTAGAAATTTGCCTCACTAGACAAAACTAGATTATCTTTAGAATGCATTCTTGTAAACACTTGTACTCTTGTTTATAGTCATATTTCCTTAGTGCCTATCTTGATCTGTGGTCTCTCCTTTCATCATAGGAGAATTTACTATTCTAGTGGTCGCTAGTCTTCCACAACTCAGGAAAAGCAAGGCAGTAGCCTTTCCGTCTCTCACGGCTGGGGGTAGGGTGGGTGGAATCTGGTAGAGGATGGAATGGAGAAGAGGAAGACAAAGGCTGTGGGTTAAAGTCTCAGTGTACTAAAGCACTGAGTAGAGACTAGGGGTATTCCGCAGCAAGGAATACTCTTTCTAGAATGCTTTTCTGCATGTTAGTCATTCAATACTACTTTTTGATGGTCTGACTAATCTATAATGCAACCTCTGTTTAACCAAAGTATAAACCACTTAATTCCCTTAATTAAGGGAAACATCCTAGGTTAGCAGTTTGTTAGTGCTGATTTCACATTCCCACTCCTGAACTTCCTCACCTGCAGAATATAGCGAATTTGTTGTTTTGTAAATTCTGAAAGTCCTGTAGGAATCAATGATTCAATGTCTTCTGACTGCAAAAAAAAACAACATGCTTATTATTAAACACATACACATTAGTATTTTGCTTGTAGGGTCAGCAGCCCACAGACTTTTGTGAACTGGAGCATATTTTTAGGGACAATAAAAATTCACTTTTTGAACAATAGTTTCTGCTAACTTCATTCCTAGTCTTATCATTTTTTACTTTTAAAAATCAATTATACTATGTACACCATGGAAAGGGCCTTCAATTCCAGGTATTTTGGGAAATCAGACTTTCCATTTCTATTAAACATTTTAAAATGTGTAATTTAAAAACAAAAGAATTGTCTATATAACTCCAGCAAACATTTTATTTCAGTGTATCTTTCAACAATTGGAAGGCATTTTTTTTTTTGGATGGTAGATATAATATTTTAGAGGCTTTTTATAAAATAATGAAAACATTGGCAAATAAAACAAAACTAGAGGTGTTACAGAGCTTGTTGAGAATTTACACAGAGCTGTGTCACAGCAACTAACTCAAAGCTTGAAGGTTCCAGTCCACTCAGAGGTGTCTCAGAAAAAAAGGCCTGGTTATCTGTTTCAAAAAATCAGCCATTGAAAACCCTGTGGTTCTACTCCAACACACATGGGGTCGTCATGATTCAGAAATAACTTGATGACAACTGGTAGTAGTAGTAGTACAGTAACACTGATAAGTTTCAACTCATTTTAAGTGATAAGGTGAATTCAAGTTATGAATTTTAAAAGGCAATTTAGGGCTTGCTGAATTATTATAAGGAATGCAATATACCAACATACTGGAATTAAAGGTGAAAATTAACACAAAAAGGAGCAATTGTACTTTTTATGTTTGAACCAATTCTTTCTCTATTTGATGACTTACTCCACTAAAGGCAATTATTAATAAAATATACTCATGTAATAGAATTAATACTGGAACAAAACTTTACTTCACGTTTCAGGCAATTCGGCATGGGACATAAAAGATTTCGAAGCTAGAACACAATAAAACTAAATTTGCTATTTGGTCAATAATGTAGATCTCAGTTTTCTAAAGCGATGTTGTTCTGATAAGCGAAGACCAAATTAAATCATGAAATGACAGCATTTTTGCTAATGATTATTAGTCTTACAGGCGTTACAAAGATATATTAAAGCAAGAAATGATCACTATTTCTTTCACTAACCTGTGTTTCATTCTAATAAAGGCACCAAATTAAAGATATACTATTAGTGCAAATATCATAATCTACTTTTATTATCAACTATATTTGATTTTCAGCTATTTTGCACTTACCTCATCTGTAGACTCAAAGTCCTGTTTGCTACAAGAATGAAATAACAAGATAAACATCCTTATGAAATGTATTCATTGTTCACATATAAATCTTAGTGTTCGATTAATTTTATCTTACTTTTTGATATATCATACTAGCACTGAGTCAACTTATAATTACAAATGAAAATACTTAAAATAAATACAATGAAATGGTACTTGACAAAAATAAAATCATTTTCATGAAATTAACTGATCTGTTTTAAATGAACAAGTGGATAACAAACCAAGAAAATGTGCATAATTGGTTATTATCATACATTAGCACTAGTCCATTTGTGACTAGAAGTCCTGGTGCTTGGCAATACCTTGGTTAATAAATAGGAATAACAGTTACTCTCTATTTCTACCTCCCTTTTCTCCTTCTTGTATTGCTCCATTTCAGGGCTGATTCCAGCTTATTTCTCCAGTGTCTTCAAGTTCTTCATGCCCTCTTTATCAACATCAAAACTTGCAAGACAAGACTGAGTAACTCCTTCAATCTAGACTATAGTATAAATGGCAGTGATGAGACTTGAAGAATATCTGCATTTTTATATAGGGACAAAGCCTTACGCAAAATGACCAAAATTCTAGTGGGATAATTGAATTTCTAGCACCAAAATGTAGTGGAGAAAGGTTTGGTCATGGGGTTCAGAAGGCCCTTTGTGGAGCCATGTTAGAGAGGTAAATGCTTCAGGAGAATTGTTAGTGGCTGTACCAGTCTGGTACTTGCTCCTTTGGAGGATGGTGCAAGCTTGGAAAGACATAGTTCTACTGATGTCAGTGTGCCACAGACAGGCCTTTAGTTTTGCCTGCTTGCTCCCTCTGCACTCAGTGGAAGAATTAGGCCTGAAATACATATGGTGAACATACTTCTAAAATCTGAAACCAGTGCACATGGTCTGACAGCAAGACAGAATATTTGAAAGTAAGACAGTTTTGGAACATCCTAGATATATGGTTGCCATACCCTCAGTACACAAGGAAAGTACATTAGCTAGCACATTAGCTCCTACCTTTACCTTCTAAGCGATTGCTTATGAGTAATATATTGCTTACAAAGATAAATGGGTCACTCACTGTGCAAAACAACTTACATGCCGTTATAAAAATACACAGACTGGTGTGGAGAAAAAGAACTGAAGGTCCTGTTTCCCAAGGCATGACTGCACATATGCAATTGTCTGTCTGTATGTATGTGTTATTCCCTTTGTTGCCCAAAATAGAGATTGTGAGGAGGCCCTACCTAGCAAAAAAAAAAAAAAAAAAGAAATATCTTCTAGTTTTTTGTTATAATGTTTTACTAAAGTAACTGTGTGTATATGTTGGAAGCTAAAATAACAAAATATGAATCACAATGCAGTTTTAGTAGCCTTGCATCACTGTTTACTACTGTTAACTGAAATGTTAGCATTAATAGACCTTTTGTGTTATAAAAGAAACTAATCCTTCTTCCTTCCAGTCCCAACCTAGTATGCATGTCCCCAGTCACTTGCTTCTTTCTACAAATAGGAAAAAAAAACTAACTAAACAAAGAAACAAAACAAGGAGCAATCAACAGCACTTAATATTGGAATTTTTTAAAGTAACCAGAATGGTTTCATGAGACAACCTTCCTTATTCTGAGCATGCAGCCCACTCATTGCTGAATTGCAGTTTGGAAAATGGAAAGTGGAGACAAAAGGGAAGGGAAAGAGAGGGAAAGTGAAAACAGAGAGCAGAGCAGGGAAGTGGAAAGGTCAGTGCTGATCACATCTTCATTCAGCACTGGGGATTGGTGGCTAGAATTACATCAAGCAAAAAAGAAACTGAGTAGTGCTCACTATATGTCATATCACCCCCTAGGAAGGAAGGAAGGGAATAGGAAAAACATAAGAAGAAAGAAAAGGAGGGAGAGAAACAGGGATGAAGAGAAAGAAACTGACAACTGACAACCAAAAACTCTTAAGTGCCAAGACTTTGTGAGACCCTCTCCACTCTGGAATGTTTTCTGATATGGACACGTTAGCTTTCCATGTTCTTTCTGGTATTTTTAGCTACTCTAGGAATTAAATGCAAGGCTTTTAAGTGCTTAATTACAGATTTAGGTCAGTCATGTGTATTTATCAAAACTCCTCAATGAGAAGAAATCATTCCAAAGCACTTTATCTGGATGATCATTATGAAATAATTAAGCTTCTCTTGCTCAGTTACTCTCTACTTCTAATTAGTATGGGCCTAGTAAACCTGGAATATATTTAACTCTCATTCTATAGATCTTTACTGAGTAGCTACATTGTTAGGGATATGTGCTCTGAACTGTTGCTGGGCAATAGAAAACACAAATATTATCCTGTCCTGTACTTAGTACAAACATAGTTGTTCCAAGGTAAAATTTGAACATTTGTCAAACCAATATAAATCCTGTGACCTTTCCAAATTTGACAAATCAAAAAACAGATATTTCCTCCCAATTTGTCTTCAATGTCTTAAACAATTTCCCTGATGCTACATATTTAGTATATCAAAGGTTAAGTGATTTGCCTAAGGCAAAAAGGTTCTCTGAGTGTGGATTCTAGTCCCAGCTTTTGCCACTTTTGTGACCTTTGGTCAGTGGTTCTCAAAATTTAGCATGCATCAGAATTGCCTGGAAGGTTTGCTGAAACACAGATTGCTGGGCACCACTGTTTCTGATTCTGTAGGTCTGTTCTCAACAAGTTCGTGCGTGATGCTGCCACTACTTGCAAGTTCATGTCTTAACTCATTTACTGCTTATAACAAATCTATGAGATAAATACTATTATTATAACCCCTGTTTTACAGATGAAGAAACTGAGGTGCAGAGAAGTTTAGCATTTTACCTGCTGCTCAACTGCTAACCGAAAGGTCGGCAGTTCATAATCAATGGCTCTGCTCCCATAAAGACTACAGCCTAGAAAACCCTGTGAGGCAGTTCTACCCTGTCATATGGGATCACTATGAATTGGAATCGACCCAATGGCACCTAATAACAAACATCTAATATGTAACAAAAACTGAAACGTGAACCCAAGATATGAACTTTGGACCCAGAATCAGAGTGCTTAAGCACTATGTCTCTATATGCCCCTTGAGTTTTACAATGTTATACTTTGATAGGGATATTCACTAAGCACCACTAATGCACAGAATAGGAGCACCTAAACCAAACTGAAGATCTAAGGAAGACTTTGCAGAAGAGCTGAGTGATCTTTTATAAGTGAAAGAGGACTTACAAAAGTTTGAATCCTTCTCAAGCACTTAGTTGCTGTGTGATCTTAAGTTGATAACTTATTCTCCAGTAGGTTATTGTGTAAATTAGGTAACATAGACAAAGTACTAAACATAGTGCATATTAAACTATGGCCTCTATATGTTGAGCACACATAAGTGGAAAGCAAACAGTAGTGTCAGTGATTGGCAGTGGGACCGAATCATATACCATCAGTGTAATATTTTACAAGTCATAGTATACCATGCATTTTTTTTTTGAGCTCCTTGCCCAAGAAGTTTCTCTTGCCATCAAAGTGCATTATGATGAAAGGTATACAGAATTCTTTATTGATCTTAAAAAAGATGGTGTGGTCTTCTTTGGTGATTTTCATAAAGTTCTCTCCTTAAAGAAAACTAATAGTTTCTGAAATCCGGTAAAAGGCTTGAGCAATACCTTAACTCTTAAAATTAGATATTTGCTCCGTTCTCCTCATATAGTGCCCATTTCCCCTTAAAAATAATAGTGTTGTAAAATGTTTCATAACTACAAGATAAGGCAAATGATATATTTACCATACCTTCCTCCAATTCTCTGCAAATGTTGTAATAAGCAGTGATACAGATCCATATTCTTACGGCTTAGATCAGCAAGCAACTCTCCAAAATACTTGGGGTCCAATTTTTCAGGGCCAGCATCCTGAATTATAACCTGAAAAAAGCATCAATCATAATTATAAACAATATTAAGTTTTTATGAATTCACAGATGTTTTGATGTGAAATGAAAACAAGTAAAATAATGTATTAAAGCAAGTAACTCATTTCACAGTCATCACATAAATTAAGCCACTAAATGTTCTTTGCATCTGAAGCATACATTTTTCAATATGGGAGGAATTTAAAGGAAAAGCAACATTACACTAACATTTTCAGTTTCATTTCAGTCAAGGCAGAGTGGTCTAATGAATGCAAAATTTGTAAAATTTATGTAAAATTATTTAACATAGGTGCTTAATTAAAACAGCGAAACAAGTAAATCAAAATCTCTAAATTGCCCATTATCACAAATGGCTTAGTCATCTGTCTCCTTTGGGAAAAGGAAATGTGAATTGTTTAAATTATACTGTTTATAGAAAATTACTTTCATTTAGACTTACATCTTCTCAGTGAAAGCCAGCTTGATTTAGTAGTATATCTTAAAGTTAGATTAAATAAACCTACTTAACTCAATGTGTTTTTGTGTATTTCTTGCTGGACTCCCTTTATTTATCATTTGGACTACATATCTAGTCAATCTGACATGGGAAAGAGTAGCTAACGGCCAAGCGTAGAAAATTCATAGACTGCTGAGACATTTGAAATGCTGAGCACAAATTATTATGAATAGAGTCCTAAATAAGACATTCTATTGACTTCATATGTTTGGTACCAAACTATTTAATATCTTCGGCCACCTTGCCTCTCATCTCCAAGATACACTGCCACAGTGCCTGGAGGATAATAACCTAGGTTGTACCCCATACAACCTTTGATATTGCATGTGGGACCAAGGGTACCCTATAAACACATTTACTCCTAGGTATGTAGATGATAAGCGAACTTCAGATTTGACCATTGATACTTGCTTTTCAACCTGTCCTCTGAATGCAGACCCTAAGATATCATGCATGTTGAGGAAAATGGGAGGACTGCAAAGTAAGCAAAGACAAACCTTCATAATCATGTCTGGGATATGAAGTCATTCACAAAATACCAAAACAAAACAAAAACAAAAACCAAACCCGTTGCCATCGAGTTGATTCTGACTCATAACAACCCTATAGGACAGAGTAGAACTGCCCCATAGAGTTTCCAGGGAGCGCTTGGTAGATTCAAACTTCCGACCTTTTGGTTAGCAGCCATAGCTCTTAACCACTATGCCACCAGGGTTTCCAAATAAATACCAGTAAGTGAAAAAAGCAAGATACAAAATAGTGTATAGTATCATTACATTTTTATTAAGATATGTATATTTGTAAAAGTCTGGAAGAATACATCACTATGTTAGTATTTATTTCTGAGTGGTGGATTTTTTTTTTCTTTTTCTTATCCATGTGTTCTATTTTTTTCTATAAGGAAAAAAGTTCATTTCTATATTTAAAAGATGGAAAAAAAAACCTGTATTTTTTATAAGTTTTACTTGCTATTTATTTTCTTTAGCTATCTTGTACATGTACCCATTGGAGCTGTTTTCCTAGGGAGGTAATGATTGCATTCAAAACAGAGTAAAGCCTCCTATATGAAGGCATGAGTAGGCATAAGTAGATGGGTACACTTGTGAAGTCAATATCATCACACCAAAAAAAAAATAAACCCATTGCTGTCAACTCCAACTCATAGCGACACTATACAACAGAGCAGAACTGCCCCACAGGGTTTCCAAGGAGCTGCTAATAGATTTGAACTGCTTACCATTTGGTTAGCAGCTGAATACTAACCACTGCGCCACCAGGGCTCCAATATCACACACAGTATGCTTAAATGTCACAGAATTAACAAGTAGTGTGTGTGTGTGTGTGTGTGTGTGTGTGTGTGTGTGTGTATGAGTGCATATATATACCAGTTGCCATTGAGTTGATTCTGACTCATGGTGACCCCATGTGTTTCAGAGTAAAATTGCACTCCAGAAGTAGATCACAGGACTGTCTTCCTAGGCGCCTCTAGATGGATTCGAACAGCAAACCTTTCAGTTAGTAGCCTAGCGCTTAACTGTTTATGCCACCCAGGGACATATATATAACCTTTAAATGCTTACATGAACATAGTAACCCTTTCTGTTTCTCAACATTCTTTCTACTCTAGTTATAATAGATCTCATCGTCCTGGGCGCACACCATGCTAGTCCTGACTCTGGGCCTTCACTCACGTTGTTTGCTGCTTAGAATACCCTTTATCCTTGTTGTCTATCCAAATCTTACTCATCCTTTGAAGTGCATCTTAAGATCTATTACCTCCATGAAAACTGAAACTATGTCATCCAACAAACTAAATTCTATTTAGCTGTTTGGGATATTATCTTGAATTGTTTTCACATTATTTTACATATGTAAGCCTTGTTCTCTCAGTACCTTCTCACTACCCCGAAAGAAAAAATCAAACTTAAGAGCAAAGAATGAGTCATACTTTTTGGTATATCCTATAGAATTTAGCACAGTACTGATCGAACACCCTATAGCTGCTCAGTAAGTACTTGCTAAATTGGAAAAAACAACTGACTAGAAGTGATCCCAAATGCCAGCTGATTCTGAATAGAATTTTGTCACAGTTTTATCTCTTAAAGCGACCAACCAAGAATAGGTAAGAAAACCAAACACAGTATAGGCAACACTTCCCCAAAAATGTTGTGGTGGTCCCTTGCACACTCTAAGTTCAAATCAGTATAATTGCAGCAACTTCAATGAACTGACATTTAAGTTCTATCTAGACTTCTGGATCTTGGCCATCAGCTCCTCAGTGACACACCCCCCTCAAGAAATGAACGCCAACATTAGGTAAGCCTTTATTCAGAATAAACATGAATACCTAAATTTATTTAATGTTTTATTCATGCATTTCTCCCTTGTTGTTGTTGTTAGGAGCCATCCAGTGGATTCCAACTCATAGTGACCCTATGTACAACAGTAGGAAACACTATCCTCACAATCATTTTTATCCTTGAGCCCATTGTTGCAGCCACTTTGTCAATCCATCTCGTTGAGGGTCTTCCTCTTTTTCGTTGACTCTCTGCTTTACCAAGCATGATGTCCTTCTCCAGGGACTGATTTCTCCTGATTGCATGTCCAAAGTATGTGAGATGAAGTCTCGCCATCCTTGCTTCTAAGGAGTATTCCACCTGTATTTCTTCCAAGAAAGATTTGTTTGTTCTTTTGGCAGCTCATGGTATATTCAATATTCTTCGCCAACACCATAATTCAAAGGCGTCAATTCTTCTTTGGTCTTCCATATTCATTGCCCAGCTTTCGCATGCATATGAGGTAATTGAAAACACCATGGCTTGGGTCAGGTGCACCTTAGGCCTTAAAGTCACATCTATGCTTTTTAACGCTTTAAAGAGGTCTTTTGCGGCAGATTTGCCCAATGCAATGCGTCGTTTGATTTCTTGACTGCTGCTTCCGTGGATGTTGATTGTGGATCCAAGTAAAATGAAATTCTTGACAACTTCAGTCTTCTCTGTTTATCGTGCTGTTCCTTATTGGCCCAGTTGTGAGGATTTTTGTTTTCTTTATGTTGAGGTGTAATTCATTTTCATCAGTAAGTGCTTCAAGTCCTCTTCACTTTCAGCAAGTAAGGTTGTGTCATCTGCATAACGTAGGTTGTTAATGAGTCTTCCTCCAATCCTAATGCCCCTTTCTTCCTCATATATGCCAGCTTCTCGGATTATTTGCTCAGCATACAGATTGAATAGGTATGGTGAAAGGATACAACCTTGATGCACACCTTTCCTGACTTTAAATCATGCAGTATCCCCTTGTTCTGTTCAAACGACTGCCTCTTGATCTATATACAAATTCATCATGAGCACAATTAAGTGTTCTTGAATTCCCATTCTTCACAATGATATTCATAATTTGTTATGATCCATAGAGCAGAATGCCTTTTCATAGTCAATAAAACACAGGTAAGCCTCTTTCTGGTATTCTCTGCTTTCTGCCAAGATCCACCTGAATTTAGAGACCATCTCAAGAATAGATTTGTTGTATGGTACACTAATGACCAAAGACCAGATGAGTTGTGGGATGACATCAAGGACATCATGCATGAATAAAGCAAAAGGTCATTAAAAAGACAGGAAAGAAAGAAAAGACCAAAATGGATGTTAGAAGAGACTCTGAAACTTACTCTTGAATGTAGAGGAGCTAAAGCAAATGGAAGAAATAATGAAATAAAAGAGCTGAACAGAAGATTTCAAAGGGCAACTCGGGAAGACAAAGTAAAATATTATAATGAAATGTGCAAATACCTGGAGTTAGAAAACCAAAAGGGAAGAATACGTTCAGAATTTCTCACGCTCAAAGACCTGAAGAAAAAATTCAAGCCTTGAGTTGAAATTTTGAAGGATTCTACCAGTAAAGTATTTAATGACTACTGACCGTTCTGCTCAGGGCCACAATAAATGGATCCTGATAGAATGGGAGAAAAATATGAAACAGAATTCAAATTCCAAAAAAATCCAAAATTACTGAATCAGTTGAGACTAGAGGATTCCCTGAGACAACCGCCCTGAGTTACTCTTTGAAACTTAAACCAAAACTGTACCCTGAGGTCACCTTTTAGCTAAATAAAATATTGGCTCATAAAAGCAAGAGTATCGCCCTTGAGTACTGCACACATTTAAAAAATCACCTGTTTGAGACCAAACGGTCAACAATTACTCTAAAGCAAAGATGGAAATGTATAGGCACAGGGAAACTAGATTACTGGAAATGGGACATTCAGAACAGAACTGATGAAAATGTTGACACATTGTGAAAAATATAACCAATGTCACCGAACAATTTGTGTTGTTTTTGTTGTTAGGTGCCATCAAGTTGGTTCCGACTCGCAGGGACTCCATCTACAACAGAAAGAAACACTGCCTAGTCCTGTGCCATCCTAACAATTGTTGTTATGCTTAAGCCCATTGTTGCAGCCACTGTGACAATCCATCTCACTGAGGATCTTCCTCTTTTTC